CAGGATTCGGGCAATCACCTTGCCCACACAACTCAGCAAGTTGATGCCACGATAATTCGTGCAACATTGCTTGCTACATTTGCCCTTTTACAGTGGTAGCACACCGGCATCCTCCAGCTCAGGAGGCACCTCCTCAATCAATACGCGTTGCACCAAGTGATCCAGCACAGTCAACAACGCGGTTGCGCCGTGTTTCAATACTTCAGGCGGGATCCCGTCGGACAGGCACACTTGCCGTTTCGCAGCTGAGCAAGTGCTGTCTGCGTCTCATCCAGTGTAGGCGTGTCCGCCAGATTCGCCTTCACATCGTGCTGCTTCAGGCCGTTCAATGTAGGCCAGTCGATCTCTGAACGGTTGTTCAAGAGACAGTCAAAGTGATTTCGCCAGATCTGCATTATGTCTGCAGTCTGTGTGCAGGTAGCGCCTGGACTACCATCGATCAGTGTCCTCAGCGGCTCCAATCTCGGTCCATACACTGCCTTCAAGGTATCAAAGAATTCCTTGTGTTGGCGGCGTTCGGCGTAGCATTCCATCTGCTTTGCGAGTATACCCCGTAGCATTTGTGTAGCCAATTATGCCTGAATACGAGTCTCAAGCGCGACTGGGCACCCACCAAATCGCACGCGATCTGCGCCACCCCAAAACTTCTCTGGTTACTCATGTCGTAAACTAGTCTGATATGCCATTCGTTTAGTTGGGATTGGTCACCCAACGAGGGGCATGCTTTGGTGCGTTCGCGCCACGTGGATGATATTTGATTGCCTTAGGGAGAGTTCTGAAAGATGTATGGACGAAACCTGTTTCCTTAACGCTGAGTTTGAAAGCGTTATGGAGGCAATTAACTGAGAAAAAGTGTTGTTCCCCCAAAGTTCCAGGATACTCTTACTACGTACACCGCCAGATATCAACCAGCGTGCCTGCTGCTACTATTCTCCGATAGAACTGACGAGCTACAGTCTAAGAGACACTTTTGAATTTGTTAACAAGATAAGTAATTTGAATGTAAAGGGAAAACACATGGTTTCTTTCGATGTATCATCATTGTTCACAAACGTACCTTTGGAAGAAACACTAGATATAATAGCCAGACACGCTGATAAAGTTGGGTTCCCAGCGCTCCAGCTAAAATCATTACTGCGCCTATGCACAAAAGATATTCAGTTCCGGTTCAATGGAACCCTGTATCGACAAATCGACGGCGTGGCCATGGGCAGCCCACTGGGCCCAGTTTTGGCTGATATCTTCCTCGGAAACTTGGAAAACACTGTGTTAGCTTCTTACCTACAAAATGTACACCTTTATTGCCGGTATGTAGACGACACATTCATCGTCGTTGACACACCTGAACAGGCGGCGCACTTACTGAAACTGATGAATATGTGCCATCCAGCCATCAAGTTCATAATGGAAAGCGAGTCCGACGGATCTTTCCACTTCCTAGATGTTAATTTACAGAGAAAGCCAGATGGTACACTCGTTCGATCTGTGTACAGAAAAGCAACATGGACGGGGCAATACTTGAACTTTAATAGATTTTGCCCAATGAACTATAAACGAGCTCTAGTACGTACCACTTTTGCTAGAGCTCGCCAAATTTGCTCATTAGACACAATCGAACATGAACTAGAACGAGTCACCTTGACGCTACAAGAGAATGGGTATCCAGCGCGATTTATAACTCGACACGCAAAAGTACGATCCGGAGATAAAACACCAACCGATGTCCCAAAGAAAAGAGTATTCATTACATTGCCCTTCAAAGGAGATCAAGTTGACCGAAAATGCAGGCATCGCCTCCGTCAATCGATTAAGAAGTGTTACCATGCGGCTGAGCTAGTGGTATTGCATCAAGTCAGAAGGCTGCTCTGTAAATCCAACCTGGACAGACCAGACTCTCAAGTTACCGCCTCTTGCATTTACCTCTTTACTTGTACTTGCGGTAGCAAGTACGTAGGCCGAACTGAGAGAAGGCTGTCAGCGAGGATTGCAGAGCATGTTCCGCGAAACATGATTGCTAAGGGCCCGAAGCTACCAACTAGCTCTATTGCCCGCCACATCCTAGACTGCCCTAAATGCCAGAACCCACGTGGCAATTTCAGGGTAGTTAGTAAACAGGCTAATCCCCGTTTACTACAGTTTGCGGAGGCGGCAGCAATTCGGCGGCTGAAGCCAAAGCTATGCCAGCAAACGGATTTCGTGACCACGCTAGCCCTACCCTGGTGAGGCTAGCGATTACGTTTTCCTCGGAACAGGTCACGTGAGGCTAAAGACCTTCGACCGCTTTGAATTTTTGCTGTTAACATCGCACCGTTTTCCACTCATTGTATGTAAACAGCTGAGGAGAATACGCGAAATTACTGAAATCAGTAAATTCTGTTATAATGTTGTTTCTTCTTGCTTTATTGAAGTTCACTTTCAGTTTGAAACCTCTTCAGCATAGACGAAGGCACCCACTCACAGACCGTAAATGAAACTCTTAGCTTCTTTTACTACATCAAACGCAAACGGTGCAACGCAACTTGTATGAACATCATGAGTTCTGCCCAACCAACAATAAAACATATTGGTTAGGCAGTACCATGGTACTTCACCTTATTTTGCCGTAATGTTCCTGAATCCCGATGCAGCAAAATACATAGTAAACTACTGAGTGCTCGTTACTACGGAATTTCCGTCACGGCTATTATCAGGACTTATGTTTGAACGTTAATGATAAGATGCACCAAGTTTCGCCTAGATTGTGTGCACTGCAGTGAACCTTGGCTTCCTCGGACAACACCGTATTCCTTTAATCAAACGAGGTCATCGTTCGCTGAGAATCTAGCGTCGCAATCTGCCAGACAGAATGCGCTGCTACAGGACTTTCTTCGAACGCAAAGCAGAACGCAACAGTATCCAAACGAAAGCTATATGGTAATCGGAGGAAATTCCTTGGGTCCTGGTTTCCAGTGTTTGTGAGCTGCAAGCATGCACATTAGAGCAGTAGGGATATATTCATGAAGCATATCCTTTAGGTGACGTCACTGATAAGTCGATCAAAAAGTATCTCGTGTCATCTAATTACTAAATGTGCGATACCACACTACTGAAACTGGTGCTGCACTCTGAGTTGGTGGCATAAGTCCTATTAGACAACTGGTTTATTTTTCTCAGTAGGCTGCTTACCGAAATTAGACAGGTTGGCTAACGGATTAATGGAAATGGTGAACTCAAACGGGATTTCCTTGTTTCATCCGGTGAGGTGGCCAATAGAATAGTCCCTTAGAATTCGAAAGGATGAAGCGAAATTTGAAAGAGCAGCCCCGGAAGCGCTTCTTTAACTTGTTGCTTGCAACATCCGCAGTGACCAAAAGCTCATCAAAATGGATTAACTACTGATCCTCCAATGCGCGGTGCAGCTTTAAGTTTTCACCCACTAACCAACTCAAAAAGTCCATATAACTGCTGGTTACCTACAATCGCATGTGATCTTGGAACTAATCTAAGCGGACTTTAACTCCATAACTTTAACTCCATAACGTAGGAGCTCATATTGATCACCCAACCATTGACCAACGTTGTGATCACCGATGTCGAGGTCACTTTGCTCTGAAAGTTACGCATCTGGGACACTGAACTAGAGAAATGAGGTAAAGTATTCCTTAATACTGGATGGACCCCTGGTGTACATCTATAAATGAAACGGTAACTGGTTTCACTGTTCCATTCGTTGCCGGTTGTGATTAAGGAACAACGTAGCTTCAGGTTACCTTCTTTAGTCATGGGGCTAAGCCGAACGTAAAATCGTATTCTCAGCACCGAAGGTTTTAATTCTCACAGTCCGAAGCCCATGCAATTGCCGTAGAACAATTTAACATTTAGATACCAATGCCAATCGCTGAGTTCATTCTGTTAACTGCAGCCGTTCTCTCACCGGGCCAAAAATGGTAAGTAAGCCGTCAACACTGGACAATTTTACACCATTGAGGAAGTCGGGGTCAGAATATGGTAACAACCATCCGTTTCGACGTGTTGCCTAGGTCTCTCTGCTGTTGTAATATATACTACAACAGACAGTGGGCAGGCGTAGGTTGTGATGAAATACTCTGTGCTATCTGCCGTCACCATACAAAAGTACAGAATGCTCCTTGTTCATCGTTCCCCAGAAAGTGCCCGGAAACATGTATGGCCAGTTGTAACTGGCTGATCGCAAAAACACTGTGGATGGTTACTTTCGTTTATGCTCTCAGAATCGGGGTTTTGACAGTCATCACAATTTGACACACTTACCTAAGGAACAGACGCGCGCAAACTAAGTAACGGTTTCCGGCATCCTTCCCATTTGTAGCGCTCCTCACAGACGCTGTTTTGTCCACACAGTTTCGCAGTTCTTCTGGAGAATATGTCATTCAGTCTAGTGTACCATAGATAAAACTTCTGAGCTTGTCCGAACCGATGGTTGTTCTTGTTTAGTTTCGACTAAACATCGATGTGTTTCCGTTAGGTGCAACTAGAAGATTATCACTCATACAAGTTTAATTAAGACGGGCATGCGAAATGTTCCCTTACTATCACTTACTCTGTTTCACAAAAGTCGCGTTTTATTCTTCTGCTAACTTAAAGGATACTCTGTGAATCGTCCTGAACTTCTACGAACCTGCGAGCAGTTTGTTGCGATAAAATTGCCAAACTCAGCGAACAGTTCCACGCCACCAAAAAGCTTCATTTTCTCTGCTATTATTTTGCGTTTCCCAGCTTTGTTCTGCCATGTTTCTGACATCACAGTGTAGCTAGACTGTGAATATCTACATCTCACACACAGAAACAACTATTATTGCGCCCTCATCTTCGGAACGTCGCACCAGAAGGTAAACTCCATATTTCCCTTGACTACCGCATCTGTTTTACGAATTTTCTACAACTTCCAGATAATGTGTTCAAAAGAAACAAGTCCTCCTAATTGAAATAATATATTATTTATCGCTGCCACACTGGTTTTGCCCTTTGATACCTTATGGGAGTCACCTGGCTTTCTTGCTTGCTTTAGGCAATGATGAGTAGAACGACCTAAAAGTTGCAGTGAACTCACATGACGTAGCAATTAGGCCGAACAGAGTTATATTTGCCCCATACCGACGCGTTGGTGTGCACATAAGCGTGGAGACACTCACCAGGGCGCCAAGCAGTAGTATGACCGTGATTATGTTGAGCACGTTGGCTGTTCTGTGCCATGTCGTGATGTGCGGAGCTGAAATAAGGGGCGAGATAAGCAGATGAGTCCGTGCTAACTCTATTGTGCGGTTGCACTACTGGGACAAAAGTGAGGTCTATTGTTAATGCCCCTCCCTTAACACTTTGGTGAAGGTAACCCAGGGTGGTTTACTCTACCTTTCAATTAGGTTATTTATGATTTCGACGTCAAGCCTCTTCCGCTCACCCAAATGATGATTTCGAAGTACAATGTAGATAAATCTACATATTATTGACTTTTTACGCTTTGCCACGACGTTCTACTCAGTGACAGCTGATCTCGAACGCCACTCCACCTACTATTTTGTTTATACTGTACCAGGACAATGTTAAGGCGCACTTCTTAGCACTGGTGTTCAGCGCTTGTATTTGAACCCGGAGTCTCAGCTAATGCGGGATAGACTAAAGAGGATTTAAACTGAAGATTCACCATTCATGGGGGGCACAAACCACATGCTTGGCTTGATTTGAGCAGGAACTCACTAATCGTATCGTCGTCCCCTTAACCGTTGTAAGGGATGCACTCTTTTTGGTTGATTCTCTAAACGCAACTACCTTGGTAGTCCGAGTGCTTTTACTATAGTTCCCGCAAGCATAAGTCATTTCAGGCGAGATATCTTCCTTAATTTAACGGCCGAAATCTTGCAATAGAAAACATGTTGCCATTACCTTAGTATACGGAGATAGGCTCTATATCGGCGACATTATACATTACAGGAAGTTTCCGCGATCACCCGAATTCACTGCACACGTTAACTGATTGCATTTGTTTCACTAATCACCACAGTGGTGTAACTTCTTTCCCAGCTATCTGGTAAGGTTGTCCCTTCTAGTCATGGCAAGATAAGCCCTGTGCACACATGAGAGTATTTTCAGTGCCTTTGCACAACGGATATAAAACGACAAGGCCTCAGTGAAACAAACAAAGTGACGAGGAAATCAAAAAGTGTATTTTCACTAAAGCAAATTGGTGTATCAGGGATTTTGCGTAGACTAACAGTGGTGACTTGTGGGGTAATATTGAGCTGCCATATGACGAGGTAGGAGAAAATAACTAAGCGGAAAGACTATGTCTTACACCAATAGCATGAATGATTTATAGAAGTGTCTGGCGGATTTTATACTCGAAGCACAACCAAAAGACATTCATCTACATAAACAGCTGCACGCCGATGAGCCATTGCTCGCATCAAATCTATGGATGATTGTTTGGAAAACAACAAAAGCTCTTTTGTTTTCTGTTTGGCGTGTTAGTGAAAGAGTACTGCTGGCGCAGCTAATTGTGTAAACGGTGAATTACTCGTGCAGCAGCCGACAGCAAACCTATTGTGCAGTTCGATACAAGCCGAATGAATATTCGGCAGATGATTGTAGTTGGTGCGGTCAAAGAGTATACGTAGGAGCACAATAGAGGAGCATTCCACTGAGTACGTGATTCCAGAGACTGATGTTTTCAGTTCACTTGTGTAACATGACTTCGCGTGGACATCCATTACACCACATCCCTGTGAAATCACTACTTCATCTAGGGTACTTAAGCAACTTAGATATCATGGATGTTCTTCGGTATGTAAGTTTTCGTGAAGCTAGATCCGAGATTTATGTACCAACAGTGTTCGACGTTAAGTTTCACAATCTAAGATGTTTTCCGTATTCTGCACTTGGGGTCGCCTCTCTTAATGCCATATGCTCATGAAAATGAATTTTTAAGACAACCTTCTGGCTCCAAAGTTCAGCTTTTATGTAGACAAATGAGTGACCGCTATTTGACTGATAACTTGTGTCTTAGTTTCTGCGACCCATCTGACTAAATACAGCTTCTTTCCACCAAAGCTACGTATGCGATCATTTGTATAGCTAACATTACATTGTGGTAACGTGCAGTCCATTTTATCCAAATAATGTACAAAAGACAAGACTTTTAACTTGACCATTAACTGAATAGTGAATGAATCTCAGGCATACAATTGTCAGCTAGCGAAAGCATAGGTCGAGTATATGTCATCAACAGACACTCGTCCTATGTATTGACATCAAGTGCGTTTCAGTGGCACTAGTATAGCTTGTATCAAGAAGATCTTGGACTAGTTTGTCTCTATGTGAAATTGAAATAGTTTTACCGTTTTGTCATCCAATACTAGAGCGCGTACACAGTTATTATTATTGGTTCCGCGTCTAGCGCGGAAGTTTATCAGCACTTGTTCCTTATCCACATAAATTTTTAAACGGTTGCACTTCTAATACTAACCGGAGCAGTCCGAGTATAAAATGATTTTTACTTACCAGTCAATTTATTCTCGTACAGATTATCAATTACGAGAGCCTCAGTGATCATGTAAAATGCTACCAGCATGCTGACGACAAGTACGTAATAAAGGCATCTCTCAGCGGAAGCAATACGCCGCCTAGGCGAGCCCACCATCTTGGTTTCCGTGCATAGTGGCCTTTGTGAATAAACTAATTTGAATATTCACCTGTGTTCTTATACGAGGTGGAACATGTGATTTGGTGCCGATCTGCGACTACTGGTCGTTGTTCATCGATTGCCGTTTGTGGCAGGAAATCGAGCATTCAGCTTCCAGAATGGTTATGTGTTTGACTAGATTAGACCATATTCAGCGAGATGCGTGCGCTAGATTTATAGATCTTGCTCTAATTTGAGACACGGGAAAGATTCAAGAATCAGCTGAACTTTTGAACAGAGGATGTAAACACACGCGAAGGGGCAAAGACTTGTAGTTCCATGGGTATGCGCTTGGATTTCGTGTAGGAAAGAAATAGTTAAATAAATAAATGAGTAAGCAGTACATCACTAATAAGTAGTAGGTATTAGGGTGTATTTTCAGAGGTACTTCGTCGCAGTTATCTTTCAGTCAGCAGGCTCCGACAGGTCTGGTAGTTTTCCAGACGTGTCAAAGCCTGCTGACTGAGAGGGAACCGTGACGAACTGCTTCTGAAATAGTGTATAATTCTATTTGATCTGGACACTTGCTCCAGTTTGTGACTATTTTAAGGCTAGTACGCAGCTCACATGGAAAAGGAGACTTGCATCGCTTCCGCATTCGTGTAAGTCTTGTAGCGTTAGGTCAAATTGCAAGAAGTGGGCGTACTCCCCCTCTGCAAGTAGCACCAGAGCCATCTGGCAACGCATTAACCAGTTACCAGCTACGCAGTTATCAGGGTGAAATATTAAAATGGTCGTTAAAAGTCCTAGTATGCGAAGCTGCACCGGAATTTCGAAATTTGTGGACAACGTTGTATATTAGATGCACGAGAAAAAGTTGCTATTGTTTATGGATTTTGTTCTGTTCGCATGCATTTGGGGACGTTGAAATACTCTCTGCCGGATGTGGAGGCACACTTGTACATTGGGTAGCAAATGCGTGTGATGAACAATGACTTCATCCAGGTTAACAAAGGTTGCTGTACAAGTCCTGTTGGATAGTTGGGGATAATATCAAAATAACAATAATAATAAACAATTGGTACTTCAAATATGGAAACAATGACTTCTCGTTTACTCCTCTGTAGTCCTGCAATCCGCGTAAATTCACAGCACCCACAGTTAACATTAAAAATGTCCATGGTAAACCCCAGGAATAGGATGGAGACGTGGCGTTAAGTGACAAAGTGTAAGTGGATGAGTGTGTCATCCAACCATCTTTTAAGTACTATTAGTGTCGGTGCAGAGACGACCGATTCTGGGGAAGCATACTATGGGTGACAGACACGAATGGAAAAGAAATTTCTGCGGCACTCCAGACGGCTTTATTGCTCTGCGAGTTTCAATGAGTGGTCCCTCAGGGTTGTATTTGTGCTGAGTCGCACTAAAGGGCGGTGCACATGATGTGGGTCTCGCAGAATAAAGTGTGCCACAATCAGGCAGCCTCGTAATATGCGATAGCGTCCGCTGAATACTCCCACTTGTTTCAGCCTCTCTTCATATGAAAGATTGCGCATTCCAACTACGTTCTTAGATTCCAGACATTGAGGCTACTCTAGTGCAATAAGGTAGCGTTTCAACCATAGATGCCAGGCTTGAATTGCGTATTCGACATGGGGACGAAGATACGCGCTGGGCATTTGTCGAAATATGGAGCTGTTTATTTGTCCAAACACCTGTCGCAACAGCCCGACGTGTTGGTTCCCAGTTTTCGAGGCCTTTTTTGATGGCCTGGAGCAACCCAAGTCATCTTAAACTAGGACACCCAAGTCACGTTCGACAGTTGATTGTTGCAGTGCATTCATTCCGAACCGGTATGAGTATCTACTCAGATGTCTGAGTGGAAGTACATTTAACTTACTCACTTAGAAATGCAGTTAATTTTAGGTTGACCATTGATTTACCGTGTCTAGGTCAGTCTGAAGCCGACGCTGGTCGGTGTTTAGCTGAAACTTGCGATAAATCTTGAGAACGTTCGCAAACATTAGGAAGTTTGTAGCGATTCCTTGTGCGAGGTCATTACTAAACACCAAAAACAAACATGGACCTAGTACTGAGCCATGCGGTACACCACATTTGGACTGTGTGGGATCCCATAAAGAGCTTCGAACCCTGATCAATAATTGTTGTTGAAGCAGAAAGTTGGCAATACAACTTGGCAGAAGGTCAACAATCTCGTACAGCTGGAGCTTGGAAAGTAGTATCCGATAGTCTAGACGGTCAAAAACCTTCGAAAAATCAAGGTAGATCACATCAAGGCCTCCAGCATCACCTGTGTCGGTCCAATCACTGCGTGCGATTAGTAAATCCGCTGGGCAAGACCGCTGTTTACGGAAGCCGTGATGCTCAGGCGTGATGATGTTACAGTTTTCCAGATAACAAAATTATGAATTCCTTGACCTTCTAGAGTATAGGAAGAAAAGATACTGGGCGGTAGTTGGTGTGCTCAATTCTACTTCTACCTTAGTGAATCGGGGTTGTTATTGTAAGCTTCCACATGGCGGGAACTTGATTCTGGTCTAAGCAGCTCTGGAAAAACTGAGCTAAAGCTCCTGCCAGTTGGCTGGCTACTGCGTCCAGCGCCTCTGGATGAATGGTGTCGACACCAGGCAAGCTGTGTTTGCGTAGACGCCAGTTTTGGCAATACGGCCTCCTCGGTAAAAGTGATGTGGGTTAGTCCTGGCGAGGAAACGACAAAGGATGGAAGATCGCTTGGTGGCAAGACCTACTGAAACGTGGGGGCATATTACATCCGCAACAAGTTTGCAGCTTTCACAGTCGTTCTTGTTCGGCCATCAGCAGTCCTGAGTGGAGGAAATCCTTGCTTCACCTTTCGTAGTCTATTGACGTGCTTATACAGCGGCTTGTGGTTAGCACCGGAGGTTTTGCGATGTACTGCTGGTATGCGGCTTTTTCTCTGAGCAGTTGATTGCAGTGGTTACTTTAGGCTACCTTGTTGTCCCAAGTTTCTGGTGTGTGAGCTTCTCTGTACACTTGCTATGCTGCGTTGCTTACTGTCATCCATTTTCGAGTTCCGCTCCTAACGAAAGAAACTGATGTACACTTTTGCAGACGCTTATCTCTGAAGTCTTTGCAATCAGCTGAGTGTATTGCCGAAGTTGAGCCAGGCGACTTCCGGGGGTTCTTCGGGAAGGAATTACTGGGTTGTAGCGCTGACAAGCTGGGCTAAGCAATCGTAGTTTGTGATGGTTTGCAGTCTCATCGTTCTCCTCCCAATATTCTGCATGGTAGACCAAGTTGAGACTGATGACTGCGTGATCATTGCGACCACTGGCGAAAATGCCAGCAATATCTACGTGTTGAGGAGCTTAGTAGTTGTAATTGGCAAATACATACAAGGAAGCCTTTATTTTCTAAAGTAAATTGTTCCCTGCTTTCCTATAGATTGAATGACCGCACACGAAGCGGTCGCGCAACACCAAGCAAATGGTGTTGCTCAATTCAAACAATCCAACTCAACCTATAGTTCATCATTCCACACCAAAGGCCTAAGTGTGCAATTAAACGCCAGTTTTGCACAGTAGATTCAGGCAAACCGAGGGAATCACTAGACTGGTACATAGCTCATTTCAGAAGGGACTGCGTGAGGACTGTTCGTCGCCAGCCAACATTCCAGGACAGCAGGCCACCACACCTAATCAATGGGCCTTGTATTGGTATAAACTGCACCCGGTGTAGCTGTTTAAGTAGCACTAATGCGAACGGATCCTGGCGGCCTTGCACACGTCCCTCCTAACGGTGTTGAAGCGGGAATACTGTTTGTGGGAGGACAGTTCGTAAAGGTTCGAGTAGCTGGCTGAATGGGTTGCTCTTTATGCATCGAGATGAGCGGATCCGGAGAATCGTGCTGCCAAAAGGTGGGATGCCAATGGAAAACAGAGCGAAAAAACTGCAACGTTAATGCACTGCTACACACAAAAGGAAATGTAGTTTATTAGAGTTTTCAAGTTTTTGTCCTTTTGGTAGTTTCAAAACGTTTTGTTATTTTTTGTGGATTTTGGAGAACGGAATACGAAAATGTTGAAAACGTGCTTTATGCAATTAAGCAAACAAAGTAACAAACATTAACGAAGCCTGACAAGCGAACGGAGGGTTGGTACCGGGTCGATTTGGGGTGAGGTCGGTTGCAGCCTCAGATTCCGCTGGAGAAGAGCATAGTCGGAGTTTGTGGAGATGGTCGCGATGGCATAGGCTGAGAAGGTGCTTGTTCTGTCGAAATGTTAGAGTTGTCAAGTAATACAAGCTGAAGCCGGTAGTCAATGGTAAATATCTGGTCGTTGCTGCGTATGACACGGTACAGGCCGGAATAGGGACACTGAAGTGGCCGTCCTACGCGGTCGGTGCGAAGAAACAGCTGGGTGCAAGTGGCAAGGCGTTTGCCCTGATTGGTACGCAAGCTCGGTGCCCTAGGTTGAATAGGCTAAATCAGTTGAATGAACACTGATTTATCACGGAGGAAAAAGCAAGTGCTTGACAAGTCCCATAGGCCGAGGTTAAAACTACAAAAAGGCATGTGAGTCGTCTGTTTTAAAGGCGCTGCGGAATAACGATAGTGTAAAATGCGAGTTGAAAGTAATCATACAGAACAAGTTGAACGCAGTGACAGTTGACGTATTGTGAGAAAAATAGTACTAAGATAACTCACTCCTGTACCGTTTCCTCGGGTCCATATGATACACAACTCCGTTATGAGATCATGATTAAGGTAATTCAGAATGGCGCAGCTTAGATAACGAAATGCTGGGAGCTAAGAGCCGTATCCAATAGTATTTTTGAACTATCCAAGATGGGGCGGGAGACAGGTGAGTTGGGGAGAATGTTCCAAGGTTGGCGAACCTGAGGAGAAAACGAATTCCGTCGACATTCTAGAGGGCCGTATGGTTCACTTTGTTCCAAGCAGTTACCTCTGAGCTTGGTGCTGTGGCTAAGTTTGAGCAAGTGGCGGCATACAGGGTTGGGGTCACACAAT